AAAACTATTAAAACTATTAAAAGGCTTCTTTTTAATAGTTTTAATAGTTTGGGAGGCTTTTTAAAAGTTGAAACTATTAAAACTATTAAAACTATTATTAAAAAACTTTTAAAACTATATTAAAACTATTAAAACTATTAAAACTATTAAAACTATTAAAACTATTAAAAAGGCTTCTTTTTCTTTTTAATAGTTTTAATAGTTTTAAAAGTTTTAATAGTTTCAAAGGTTCAGGAATCTCCTGGCCAAGGCCGTTTCTTTTTAATAGTTTTAATAGTTTGGGAGGCTTTTTAAAAGTTGAAACTATTAAAACTATTAAAACTTTAAAAAGGAAAAGGCCTGGCCTGGAGATTCCCGAACTTTTAAAACTTTTAAAACTATTAAAACTATTAAAACTATTAAAAAGGATTCTTTTTAATAGTTTTAATAGTTTGGGAGGCTTTTTAAAAGTTGAAATTATTAAAACTATTAAAACTTTTAAAACTTAAAAAGGAAAAAGCCTGGCCTGGAGATTCCCGAACTTTTAAAACTTTTAAAACTATTAAAACTATTAAAACTATTCAAACTATTAAAAAGGCTTCTTTTTAATAGTTTTAATAGTTCGGGAGGCTTTTTAAAAGTTGAAACTATTAAAACTATTAAAACTATTAAAACTATTAAAACTATTAAAACTATTAAAACTATTAAACAGAAGCCTTTTTAATAGTTTTAATAGTTTTAATAGTTTTAATAGTTTTAAAAGTTCAGGAATCTCCTGGCCAAGGCCGTTTCTTTTTAATAGTTTTAATAGCTTAGGGGGCTTTTTAAAAGTTGAAACTATTAAAATTTTTAAAACTATTAATAAGAAACCTTTTTAATAGTTTTTTAATAGTTTCAATAGTTTTAAAAGTTTTAATAGTTTCAAAAGTTCAGGAATCTCCTGGCCAAGGCCGTTTCGTTTTAATAGTTTTAAAAGTTTCGGCCCCTTTTTAAAAGTTGAAACTATCAAAACTATTAAAACTATTAAAACTTAAAAAGGAAAAGGCCTGGCCTGGAGATTCCCGAACTTTTAAAACTTTTAAAACTATTAAAACAATTAAAACTATTAAAACTATTAAAACTATTAAAAAGGCTTCTTTTTAATAGTTTTAATAGTTTGGGAGGCTTTTTAAAAGTTGAAACTATTAAAACTATTAAAACTATTAAAACTTAAAAAGGAAAAGGCCTGGCCTGGAGATTCCAGAACTTTTAAAACTTTTAAAACAATTAAAGCTATTAAAACTATTAAAAAGGCTTCTTTTTAATAGTTTTAATAGTTTGGGAGGCTTTTTAAAAGTTGAAATTATTAACACTACTAAAACTATTAAAACTTAAAAAGGAAAAAGCCTGGCCTGGAGATTCCCGAACTTTTAAAACTTTTAAAACTATTAAAACTATTAAAACTATTAAAACTATTAAAACTATTAAAACTATTAAAAAGGCTTCTTTTTAATAGTTTTAATAGTTCGGGAGGCTTTTTAAAAGTTGAAACTATTAAAACTATTAAAACTTTTAAACTATTAAAAAGGCAAAATTTGGCCAAATCGAGCCGCGCATTTCTCATCGCGTACGACGAGCAGCCCGATTTGGCCAAATTTTGCCCGGAGCCTGCCCGGCAAAATTTGGCCAAATCGAGCCGCGCCTTTCTGGAGGCCCGGAATTATTTCATTGTTTTTTTTATTTTTATTATTTACATAATTTAAATAGTTTTGGGCCTCCAGAAAGGCGCGGCTCGATTTGGCCAAATTTTGCCGGGCAGGCTCCGGGCAAAATTTGGCCAAATCGGGCTGCTCTTCGTTATGCGATGAGAAATGCGCGGCTCGATTTGGCCAAATTTTGCCCGGAGGCTGCCCGGCAAAATTTGGCCAAATCGACCCGCGCATTTCTCATCGCGTACGACGAGCAGCCCGATTTGGCCAAATTTTGCCCGGAGCCTGCCCGGCAAAAATTGGCCAAATCGAACCGCGCCTTTCTGGAGGCCGGAAATTATTTAATTGTTATCGCGTACGACGAGCAGCCCGATTTGGCCAAATTTTGCCCGCAGACTGCCCGGGAAAAATTGGCCAAATCGAGCCGCTAGTTTTTAATAGTTTGGGAGGCTTTTTAAAAGTTGAAATTATTAAAACTATTAAAACTATTAAAACATAAAAAGGAAAAAGCCTGGCCTGGAGATTCCTGAACTTTTAAAACTTTCAAAACTATTAAAACTATTAAAAAGGCTTCTTTTTAATAGTTTTAATAGTTCGGGAGGCTTTTTAAAAGTTGAAACTATTAAAACTATTAAAACTATTAAAAAGAAGCCTTTTTAATAGTTTTAATAGTTTTAATTTTAATAGTTTTAAAAGTTCAGGAATCTCCTGGGCAAGGCCGTTTCTTTTTAATAGTTTTAATAGTTTAGGAGGCTTTTTAAAAGTTGAAACTATTAAAACTATTCAAACTATTAAAAAGAAACCTTTTTAAAAGTTTTAATAGTTTTAATAGTTTTAATAGTTTTAAAAGTTTTAATAGTTTCAAAAGTTCAGGAATCTCCTGGCCAAGGCCGTTTCTTTTTAATAGTTTTAATAGTTTCGAAGCCTTTTTAATAGTTGAAACTATTAAAAACTATTAAAACTTAAAAAGGAAAAGGCCTGGCCTGGAGATTCCCGAACTTGTAAACTTTTAAAACTATTAAAACTATTAAAACTATTAAAACTATTAAAACTACTAAAAAGGCTTCTTTTTAATAGTTTTAATAGTTCGGGAGGCTTTTTAAAAGTTGAAACTATTAAAACTATTAAAACTATTCAAAAGAAGCCTTTTTAATAGTTTTAATAGTTTTAATAGTTTTAATAGTTTCAAAAGTTTTAATAGTTTCAAAAGTTCAGGAATCTCCTGGGCAAGGCCGTTTCTTTTTAATAGTTTTAATAGTTTAGGAGCCTTTTTAAAAGTGTAAACTATTAAAACTATTAAAACTATTAAAACTATTAAAACTATTAAAACTTAAAAAGGAAAATTAAAGTTTTAATAGTTTAGGATGTTGTTTTGAAAGTTCAAAACTATTAAAACTATTAAAACTTTAATACAGAAAGCAGCCATGTCAAATAGTACATAGAGGTTCCTCTTACATATATATATATATACATACATATATACATATAGATATATATAGGGGGCCCCTAATTCCCTTAGTCCCGGCGAACCAGCAGTACGTGGGGTGGGTGTTCAGGCTCACTCCCGCAGATCTCGCCGCCATCAACGGCGAGCCGGGAGATGTCCTGGCGGATGTTGCTTGGTTTAGGGTTTAGGGTTTAGGGTTTAGGGTTTAGGGATTAGGGTTCAGGGTTTAGGGTTTAGGGTTTAATTAGGGTTTAGGGTTTAGGGTTTAGGGTTTAGGGTTTAGGCTTTGGGGTTTAGGGTTTAGGGTTTAGGGTTTAGGGTTTAGGGTTTAGGGTGGACAGGAAGCTTCCAGTTGCTTTATCAGGGCACCTGCCTGAGTAGCGCCCCGTGCTTTGGCTTTGGGGTGTGGAAGGTTTTGAACTCATTGAAGCCCGATATATACCCTTTAAGGGATTATAGGATATATGGATATATATGATATGTATATGATATGTATATGATATGTATATGTATGTATGTATGTATATATATATATATACCCTTTTAGGGAACTTCATGCGATCTAAGGACGGGTTTGCTGTGGGCACAGCGAAGCTCACCTTCCAGGATGTTAGCTTCTCCCTCCCGCAGTCGAAGAGGAGCACCGCGCGGACTGCAGCAACACCGCGGAGTGATGTCACTGCAAACAGCTCAAACAGTCGCTTGGCACGTAATTTCGGAGAGGGTGCCAGCATGGGGCAGGCAAAATGGAGGGTGAATCGGTGGCTTCCGCCTCCGAAACCTCTTCCAGCGCCTTAGTCTGAGCATGCCTCGTTTGGTCCGAGGCGACGGGCGCAAGGTGATCCTCGCGCCCATTTCCGGCCACTATGAACCCGGAGCCCCGTCTGCAGGATCCTGGGATGTTTTGGGGCTTTCGGCGAGATGGCCGCTACTGAAATGAAGTGTTCCGGGTTTGACTGGGCTCCTATGCGTTTCATGCCCAAATTCCTAGTCCCGCCCAGTGAACCCCTATACTCCCCCCCTGCAAGAAAGATAGGTTGGATATGTTTAAGTGCATGCGCGTTATGTATATGCGCCTGTATAGGTATACCTTTTGCCCGTGTTGTGTGTTTGAGCGGTCGGGCATGTGCACATGTAAATGTCTGCACATGTAGTGAATGGGTGTAAGGTCTGGGCATAGTTAGATATGTGTGTATACATGTGTATACAAACAGAATATGGTCCTGCTGGATCTATACCTGCATATATACCATTCTAGTACAACATATTAGAGTGCAATATCATATAAGAGAATATCATCTTGAGGTGCTTTTTGGGGTCATCTCGGAGCGTTCTGGAGTGTGTTACGCTGTTTGGGGTCTATGCTGACATATTCTACTCACAGAGACCCACACACACAATGCACGAGGTCGGCTGGTGGCGCTGATGGGGCCTTCAGGCCTTCGTGGTTGCCAGCCAAAGTCTCGGGCCGCGGTTGAGAATGTTTTGAAGGGTTCAGGGGGACCCCCCGGCAGTATGGGATGCGCGTCATCCGTGTCGGCCCGTGTCGGCCCGTGTCGGTGCTCCCCCCACGATACCCCACCCGCCGATCTCCATTACAACGAGTAAGGGTTCGAGAATTCAGTTAAAGTCACATTAGCTCTCGAACATCCCTGCGGGTCGTATGTGCTGCTGGATCTTGTTCGTCCGGGGCATGGGTTGGGCGCCGTGCAGGCTGCGGCAAGACAACCTTGCTGGACATTTTGGTCTGCTGCTCATTGCTGGTGTGTTGCACAGGATGATGTAAAAAAATAATACAGCTAAAAATATTGCAATATAAGATAAGACAATGTTAATTATGCAGTTTCAAAGGCTTGCAGCACGTGTTCCTGTCCCGAGCGACCAAGGCCGGAAAGAAGTATGCCCCACACAAGGCAGGGCTGTCTGCCTGATACTACTTATATACTGTTGGTTAGCAGGGAATGAGGGAATCGGGGCCCTACATATACCCTGTACCCTTTAAAGGATTATAGGGCATATGCAAATAATTCTATATAGGTATAAACCCTTTAGGGATTATATAGGGTACCTCGTTCCCCCATTGCCTACTAACCAACAGCAAGACTAGAGGCAACTCGCTCGGTGTGCAAGTTTGAATTTGCCCCGAGAGACGTAGGATTCATCAGCCTGCACATTTTTTGCCCAGCATACGAAAGATGGAATTCAGATTTGATGATCTTAGCAATGTTTATCCCTGTGGCAGGGCACAATCCACATCAATGGCCGACCACGAGATATGCTCTGGAATCGGATCTCGGCCTATGTGCCTCAGGACAATCGCTGATGGCTGTGTGGGGGCCAGTCACTTGAGTGTCACGAGTTGAGGAAACAATGCCGCCCATAGTATGCTACAATGCACATCGCTTCCCAGAGCGGCATGTGGGCCACTGTCACAGGACGACCTGATGTTTGCACACTTGACCGTGGAGGAAGTGCTGAGGTGCATTCCTGGGTGTTGGGTTTGGGGTTCAGGGTTCGTGAAAAGAGCCTCTCCCAGTGCCCTCTACAGCAACAGCCTGATTGAAACAGCTACGAGCAGACCTTACAGTCCAGCTCAGGTCGCTAAACAGCTTGGTAGCTACTTTCGACTGGCATTGCAGTACTTGGATGTAGTTGACAGGTTCCACGCGAACCTGAAGACGCAGCGGCCAGCCAGGCCGTTGAAGTGGGCTTGATTCACATCCTTCACTAAATGCCTCGGTCCATTGCACTGGTTCCCCAGATGGCAGTGCTGAGGATGCATCATGCGTTGGAGTTTGCTGCCTGTCTAGCTACTGCCAGGTATACGCCGCATCTCCTGCGCTTATTAACGCCCGTGCATTCTGGCCAGGATCACCCGACAGATGGATCATCTCCGGATCGAGGCATTCCTTCAGGCTTTCGGGCTCCACGACATCAGGACCCCCAGACAAATACTGTGATTGGACTCTTCAGAAGTTGCTGCGGGCCTGAGGGCCTTGCACAGTTCAAGACGGAAGCACTTGGAACGTAGGTCTGACAACGACAGTGCTAAGCCCCCGACGCAGAGGATCCCGCGACAGAACAGAAGTGACAGCCCATGGAGTCTGCTGTACATGTTGACCTTCCCAAAGGAAATCCTACGTGGGCAACCCCAAGCAGGGTGCGCGAGGAATTTCTGGAGGCCGCACAGTCCATGGCAAACCCAAACTCAATGGAGGGGTGGGAGGTCCGCGCATGTTTCTCCACAGTCCGTGCAAAGGCCAGAGGCGGCGCCTTTCTCTGGTGAAAGGGGTCGCTTGTGGGGCCACCGGTCTGCATTAGATTGGTTTGTGTGGGCAAGTCAACCTGGCTCAAGAGGTGTTCGTGTCGTGAGTTTGCCGGTCACAACCACCTGCGCCAGCAGTAGTTTAGTGGCCCCAAATGTCAGGCAAGGGTCATGTTCTGCGACGAGCCAACCTCGGGGCTCTCTGCCACTGATGCTGAGCTGTGCGTACGCCCCTCGACCGAACTCTGGGTAACCAAAGCGGCAGTCAAAGATATGCTGTCTTTCAGGGCGAAGGAGCCGTGCTGCTTGTTTCATCTTACTTCCGCTGAGGCTACATGCGGTGGCTCGCCCACAAATACTCAGAGCCTTGGTCTTCATTGGCTCATGTCAAGTGCATGTCGCCTCCCTCGACCCTGAGACATCCAGGATGGTTGTGAGCTTGAGCTCAGGTTTTGATCATCATGTCTATCCACCAGCCCCGAAGAGAGGTGGCCAGGCTGTGCGGCAGGGCATGACACGTTGAATCCACACCGCGCGCAAAGTAGGATGATGTTGAACGCAAAGGCATCTGTGGTGCGATTATCATCGCTTGGACAGTGCAAAGGGAAGCTGCATGCGATGTCCGTGTCTCCCGACCCCTGAGAGATGGCTTTTCAGATGCCTGAGAGGCTCTTCGACGACCTGATCCTCCTCACGTCAAGTCCTGGTCGGGCAGTCTACCAAGGACCAGTTGTCTGCTGGAGGGAGAGCATCCTTTGCTTCAGATGCAGTTCCAAGCCGTCACCCTCTTGTTTTCTGTATTCGATATGTGGTCCCGCTTAGGATGAGGAGTTCTCGAGGATTCTTAGATGACGTTGATCCCACCAGAGCAAACATGAAATAGAAGGACCGATGCGAGATTTGTCTGACTATGCAGCGAAGGCAAGGGGGGGGATTTTCAGACCAGCAAGCGGTTGGCCCACGAGCCTGAGCACGTATCGACGGGTAAACACATCGAGCAGGTTCACTGAGCTTCCGTGCTGGGTTTTAGGGTTTTCGGGTTTTAGGGTTTTAGGGCTTTAGGGTTTTAGGCTTTTAGGGTTTTAGGGTTTTAGGGTTTTAGGGTTTTAGGGTTTAGGGTTTAGGGTTTAGGGTATTCTCGTCCTTGGCATGTCTTCACTGGCGGCCAGGTGGGGTATCCGATTCCCCTGAAGCGGTGGCTCGGCTACTGGAGTTATCATTGAAGCATCTATGTAGCCATCTTCGGGGCACCTGCATGCGATGCCTCTTCACGTGCGGGGCACGTTCTGGAAGGATCCCGAAATGTTTCGCAGATCGTAGCCGGATCAGGGCTTCGTCTGTTTTATTCTGATTTGCGCCCGATGCTTGCACACACTTGCCCTGAGCAGACCTGCTGTGGTCTTTTCGGATGAGCCGCGTGTCTTTGCACGACTGCATCACGTCAGAAGTACAAAGGGAATGCAAGGCGTTTGCAGCACTTGCCATGAGAGTTTTGAGGAATCCCACAGACTTTTGCATGGACCTGATCACGCCTGGCATGAAGGGAGCGAGGGAGGATGAGTTCGTGAGGCCGCTTTGCCTGTGTGTATACGTCCTTGATCGCGAGAGTAATGCTGTCAACTCCTGTGTCTGATTTTGATTTCGCTCTACGCGCAGTGTTTCAAGCGAGGCACTTCCAGGCGGTGCAAGCTCCCACCATCGAAGAAGTGGTGAGGAAGCAGCTCACTGAGGACTTGCGTGCTTTCTGCAATTTTCTGTCGATCTTGTTGTGAAGGACGGTCGGGGGACCCCCGATCCCCAAATAGTAGGCTCCCCTTGTGATAAGGACCCCAATCAGGTACCCCTAAGTTCGGAAGCCCCCCCCAAATGGCAGCAAGCCCAAGAGACTCCTGCAGAAGGACTGCGGCAGTGCCATGGACATCCTCCGCGCGATGCGCGAGCCAATGCAGGCCTTCGCTGATTTCGCTGTTCTTCCCGGGGGCAGCTGGGTGTTAGGTGCCAGCTCAGATAGACGAACCAAAGCAAAGCGGTGGATTCCGACCCTTTCAGCCACACAGCGCAGACTTACCTGACTCCGAGTTGGCTATTGCGGATTTTTGGGAGGGTTTGGGGATTGGGTCCCGCAGTCAAGGGTTAGGTATTGAGCTTGCCGCAGTCACGCTGCTCCGAGGTGTTTGGTGTAATGCCACCACTCCGCAACAGCCGCCAGACCGCATGCGACAGAAATGTTTGCAAGACGAACTGTACTTCATTGGCTGGACTTCATTTTGGAAGATAGACATGCAGTCATAGCTGGCATTGTCTTCCCTCAGCCGCTGTGAATTGTGGCTCGAGGTAAGTATGGGGTGCCGTTCCGCACGCAGGTGGGCCATACCTTTTCCAAGAGGTAGGTGACACCCCCGCGAAGGGGATCCATCAGAACCTGCATCGTTGGCAAAGCTATGCCAATCAATACTTCAGCAAAATCGAGGGTGATGTAGCAGCGTGCCTGATGTTGGTGCCTGATGTTGCCGAGCTGCGTGGGCACATTCGCCAGCCTCCTCAAGCCCTAAACCCTAAACCCTAAACCCTAAACCCTAAACCCTAAACCCTAACACCCTCAAGCGGCTGCAGGTGCGGATCGTGGCCTGGCGCCAGTTCAAGCTGAGGCCCATCCGTCTGGTCTCGCCTCCAGATGAGGGCCCTTGCGTTTAGGGTTTAGGGTTTAGGGTTTAGGGTTTAGGGTTTAGGGTTTAGGGTTTAGGGTTTAGGGTTTAGGGTTTAGGGTTTAAGGGTTGGCTAACGCTCGAAGCACAGGGTTTTCTAGCTTTGCTTGCTGCAGACACAATGCCTTAAGCCCTAGCGGGCAACCCTCAACCCTCAACCGTAAGGTCCTAATCCCTAAGCCCTAAACCCGAAACCCGTAAGCCTGCTGAGGCCAAAGAACCCTTAATTTTCAAACCCCTGAACCCAACATATTTTGAGCCGTGACGTGTGCAGGTACCGAGACAAGACACACCTGTTGATGGACCTGGCTGCTGCAGCTTGCCGCAACAAATGGAGTGGTAGGGCTGCGTAGAGGACAGAAGTTCGCTCTTGCAAGTGAGTGGTAGGTACGATTTTCACAGCAAGCCTGGATTGCACCGCAGGCTGTCGCCAAGGCTCTCATCTTGGGACTGGCTTTCTACGAGCCTTGCCCCAGATTTGATGCGCGATAAAGTAGGTCCGTGCGGAGACATGCGAGCGCTTGATTGGCCGGTGTCAAAAGACCCGGCCAGTTGGACTGTGAAGCTTCTCACTCACTTTTGGAGAAGAAGTAGCAGTTGTGCTGGACGAGACGATGCCCGAAAACAATCCATGGATTCGCAGGGTTGAGAGTTCTGGTGTTGTGTTATTCAAAGAATCTCACACAGTATGGTTTAGATCATGTGGGCACAAGCTGCATCAAACACTGGCTTTTTGGATGCTTCTGCACGTCCAGATGAGGACATTGGAGCAAAGGGGCAGCCCCACCAGCTGGGTTTCTTCTTCTTTGCTGCTCGGCACAATGAGCACGAGAATCTGTAGCGCAAATAGGTGCTGTATGCTGGATGATGATGACGATGATGACGGCGGACGGTGAGTGGGTCCTTTTTGAAATTCTGTGTCCTTATTTAACATCTCTCGAGCAAAAAAATGTATGAAGAGCCCCCAACGACCATGATTCAAAGTTTTGAGTGCCCCTTCAACGGGGGGTCTTTTGTCATCTAGAAAACTACACACTTAAATCCTCAAGCGGCTGGGCTTGAACCTCAGGGGCTCAGGGGTGCTTGCTGATTGAACCAACTTCAAAAAGAAGTTCTCTCATTCCCGAACATTTCTCGCCGCGGATGTTAACAGCAGAAGTCGACGAGTCTTTTTCGTGCGTGATTATGAATGCAGGCTATTCTGTCATGAGCTATTAAGAAAAGTAGAAGCTAGCGTGCACCTTCTGGTTGAGAAGAGTTGTCTTTCTTGCGATAAGAAGATAAGAACCTTTGGTGCATGTTATCTCGTCATTCGCCATAAAGTACATGAGCTCAAAGTTTTTCGGGCAAGCAACAAAACAGAAAGAGATTCTTCATTTCTTATTGAGCATTGTGTACTTCTCAGTGCAGGCGTGAGAAACTCCTCGTGCCATTCAGGAAAAGACCTGGGAGAAGTAGTCCAACTATAAGTGAGGGCGCCTAGCGGCCGGGATCGCCCCAGTAGCTGCCCTATCCTCGTCACATCATCACCCCGGCTTTCTTCAGCATCAAGCCCCCAGTCTCTTCCCGTCTCTTCCCCCCCCCCCAGCTATCCATGCATGTGTCAGACATGCCGACGAAGCGCTGGAGATATCAGGTCTTGATGGCCTGCTCCATCGACCAGGTGAAAACCATGCCGGCGATGATTGCGGAGTGCCGCGGAATGATTGTGGTGCTTGAGTGGGGGGAGATCTGTTTTCTCTCAGAGCCGCTGAACAAGCCGAACGCGGGGAAGAGCCCCCGTTTGACGCGTCAACCGCATGCAAGAACAGGCGGAACATCATGAAGCTGGAGACCTCTGAGGCCGCCCGAGCTACTGAATGGAGCTAGCTGACGCCGAATGGACAGTCGGACCTTTGCCCAGGGCCTTTATCCACATGCCCAGCATCTGTTGCATTCGACGCCAGGCCTTGTACAGCGAGTGGGCCTACATTCTGCCGGTCACTCTCATGAGCGCGATGCAGGCCGACATGATGGGATGCAAAGCAATTCTCTAGCCTAGCACACACACACACACACCTTCTGTACAGCTTCTCATGCAGGTGACATGAGGACTGCCGGCAAGCCAGTAGGTCAGTGGTCACATGTGACTAAACAAAGTCGCTGCAGCACAGCTTGCTTTTGCATCCCGCCCCAGGCAATAGTGACGCATTTTGTGCACCTCACCTGCACTAGGCGAAGCCAGGTTTATGACAATGCGGGTGCCTTGCTTCAGAGACTGCAGCGAGCAAGTACGCAAGCAAATTCTCGAGTCTCCTCGAGTCAGCCCAGTTTTCCAGTGCCGACCCTTTCGTTTCCCAAGAGAGGTGCAGTTAGGTAAAGGTGGAGTTGGTAGATAAATATAGACAAGCTTTTATTCGTGTGAACGCCTCAGGTTCATTGCGCTTCTATGGCCGTTTGTGTCATTTCCGGTCGCTCTCTTTGGGCAGCTTGGCTTGCTCTGAGCTGATCTGCAGGAGTTGTACGGAGCCGTTGGATTGGGGTTGGGGCTGGGCTGCTGCAGGGACTGGACACTGCAGTGTCAGCAGCCCCCCCTCCTCCTCCTCCTCCTCCTCATCCTCCTCGTCCTCGGTCACCTGAATAACGGAACTCATAAATCCGGGGTGTTGACGATCCAGGCATGTTTGGTTCTGGTCCCTGATGGTGAACACAGTCATGGACAGCCTCTACGTCATGCTCTCCGGCATCGCCAAGGACGTGACTCAGGGCAACTCCTGCCCAAGAGCCCTTGCATGGATGTCGCAGACAGTACGCCCTAAATCTGGCGATGTCATGTTGTAGAGCTTCCCAAAGGCCCGTTTAACAGCCCAAGAAGCAGGAGAGCATGTGAGACACGAGCCTGCAGACCCCGCGCTCGCAAAATGATACAGCTCGAGGACGCGACGATTGCACAGATAATGTCGCTGCCTTTCCTCCTTGTCTTCATGCTGTACAATGGCAGCTTGGAGCATCTGGCCGAGGGAAGCACGCTGTCACACCGAACAGTCGACGTAGGATCTGGCTTTGCGGAGACATCCATTTCTATGATGCAGAGATGGGAAGCAGGTAGTGCTCAGGATTGCATAGGCAGGTTCAGAGGTGCTGCCGGGGTTCGTGATTCGGGCCGTTGACCTGCTGGAGGTTTCACTGTTACAAGAACAACCTGCCCAAAGTGGTTGCTGTGGGCCTTGAATGTCTCTCCCGTGGCCTACGCGATGGAAGCCATCACAGTGTCCTGGCTCTGAGGAGTTTTATTGGGCACTGAGCCGTGGACCCGAACCCTGAATCGGTTGCACATGTGCGGGCAATGTCCCATGAAGCTCATGGCTCCTTTGCCTCTTTCTTTGGTTGATGCCATTCAAATCCCCTGCAAGCCATGGTGGCCCCGATTTCTTTTGGTTGCTAAAGGAGGGTTGGGGTGCTCCGACTCGTAGTTCCTGACAGGAACCGCTAGTGAGAAGGCGCGGATTAGCCAGAACTCGTAGGGCATCTAGCAGGTGCTATGAGACTTGGTATGTTTGAACCTCAGCGATTCGGCCTCGCCCAGATGGCAGCTGCACGAATATGCGTCTATGGGGGGCCTCCCTGCGGCAAGGACGTGCTCGGAAAGCTGCGAGAATGTTGCATCTTTAGCTGAGCAAGTATGGGCGGATAGAGGAATTCTGGCAAGGCATCGGCTGAAGGGGTCCCACCAACCCGGGAACCAATTGCCTTTGTATGTCGGCCACAGCAGATGCCATCAAGGCATGGTCCCCAAACGGCCCGGATGCGCCTGTGAGCTTCCCCTCAGAACCAGCATAATTGGTGCAGTAGATCCTAGCCTTCAACTCCAGGACGGATTCTACCCCGCCCCTCGGCATTCGTGAGCAGTCGTTGGAGTCTTTTCAGGTCTCAGTCAGATGGCGGTGGCTTGTCGGTAGCTAGGGCCCACTGGGATGCAAAAAAGTTCGCCGGAACCCGTAGGCGCCCCGTGCTCAGTGGCCCTTTGTTCATCCAGCCTCAGAATCCGCAGTGCACTGATGCTGCCAAATGGCAGGAGAAACCTACATCAGGTTTGCCATTCTTCGTGTACATATATACATATAGATAATATGTGCACATGCATAATGCATAAACAAAATGCATCGGATATATGTATAGGTGTATGTGAGTGTGTCTATTTATATGTATACATACATACAAATAACGAGCTTCCAAACACACAACGTACACATCAAGTCAAGGCATGAAGGTGCTTTGCATGGTCGGCAGGGTCAAAGCCCTGTAAATGTAACCCTATCAAGAACCATTCAGAACCCTAAGCCAAAGCCAACTGAAAGGGCAGCCAAGAGACTTAGAACGTAAACCCTAAACACTATCGGGCAGGCAGAAGAACAGATCGCACCCAGCCCATGCATTCACATGTCGCAATCAGCCGAGGGAATCCTCGTGCAGTTCAGCTACGAGGAACAGACAGAGACAGCCATCATTGCGCCTTGGGAGCTTAAGTGGGGCGGAAATGTTGTCTGATGATGAGGGTTGGGTCATCAGGCTGTCGTTCTGAAGGTTTTGGGATGGGCTAAATCGCAGAATTCCGGGCACCGCAATTTGATCCCTTCGACGTGCAAGCATCAGTCAGCTGCATGCTGAAATTGCTTATCATGTAGAAAAGATGTAGCTCACCGGCCTGGACAAGAATCGCTGCTGTTTCGAGAGCCCAACTCTCCACTCTGGACAGCCCCACGACACAGGTGATGTGCGTTTGCATCCTTCTGTTCAGAGCCATTCATATGGTGTGCTTGAAGTTCTTAAACAACATCCAGAGGCAGGATGGCTTCGAGCTAGACACTTCTCGGATCAATTCCGCGTTTGCAATCTAGAATGGAGTGCTTCTACCGGGATGATGCTGCGTTGTAGGAGCAACAGTTGCAATGGCGGCAGCATGACGAACCCAGCGTCTCGCCACACAACTGTCCCTGAAGGTGAGCTGTAAACAAATACATACCTCCAGTGATGATGCACAGTTGTACTTTTTGGTACAAGGGCTCACTGCTCAGCCAAGATGAGCTGTGGGCCCTTGATCCTCTGCCCTTGTCTATCGTAGTTTTCGAAGGGAACTCCGAAGCGCTCTCTGTGTAGGATTGGGGGTTTAGGGTTTAGGGTTTAGGGTTTAGGGCTTAGGGCTTAGGGCTTAGGGCTTAGGGCTTAAGTTTTGTTGGGTTTATATGGGTTTGTATATACAACATCTACGCCGCAATGTGACGATGTGACGACTGCAAGGTCGTCATCAGTATTGCCCCTTCGTCCCAGATCTGCAGATAGACAACTTTCGAAGCAAAACTTGCGCCTCTGGCTCGATCTAGCCGGACTTGAAGTCCGTTCAGAGTACGGAGGCACGTGTTTTGGCTCCAACAGCTTGTATAGTAATGAACCTGCACACTTCAAAGCAAGAGTTCTTCTGACCATGTGCTAGAAACGACGTCCATTCAAGCCGGGGTTGGGAAATCATGGCATGCACCCGACATTTCCCAACACAGCCCGCGCATGGTCTTTTTACGTAGGCAATTTCCTACAAACCGAAACGTGAAGGACTTTTGCACGAGGCATGCGCTGCAAGGCCCTAGCCCCCCGTAAACCCAAAAGTTTAGGGTTTACTCTAGGGTTTAGGGAACCTCTAGCCTAAAACCATAACCTCTGAACCCTTTCTGCACCTGCTGCACAAGATGGCATTGCCTGGGGCCGGGAAGGGCAACGTATGGCCCAGGACACCCTCCAAGCAGTTCTAAGCACACCCGGTGCTGTTTGCCAAGCTCCGCTAGAACAACACCCTTTCAACTGTTCTCAATCTCGAAGTCTGAAATCCGAGTCCGTGGGCCATCCCAAACCCTGAAGCCTCTCAATATGCATGGACCCAACCAGACCAGCCTGTGGGCATCGGAGAAAGAGTTGTGCCATGGTGTGCCGATTGCAAGTGAAAGCCGACTCAGCGCTTCTCGTGGACGTTGGCTTGAACGCAATCAATCCCGGAATTATGGCAAGAGTGCCATGTTTTGAGGAGCCTTGCCTGCGCGTGCGCTAGCCACGAGAGCCGAATCTAGATGTTGAAGAACTCATATAGGCTCAATATTTGGGAAATGTGATGATATTATTATTTATGTATATGGCCATCATACACATGCATTTTCTAATGCACATTTTCCTTTTCTGTCTACATTATCATAACCTTTCCTAGAGAAAGTCAGGACTTTGGGTTTTCTGAGATTTAGCTCTAAGGTTTGGTTTTTGAGTAATATGGTCTTGCCAGTCTTCTTGATCATGTTTATTCGTTTTCCATACGTCCTGGTCACTGCGCCACCCATCATGGTGCTCGTTACGCCACCCACCACGCCATCCACGATACCACCATTTGGGATTAATGTACCTGATCTCGTTGTACCCGAGATTTTATGATTCTCGGAGGGTTGATGATTACTTTTCCTATTTGAGGTCAATCTCGAGTTCAATCAAAACTCCTGAAATTTCGTTGTGTCGAGATTTTGGGTTGACCAACCCCTAAATCCTAAATCTTCTTTACCGAAATCCTGAGATTTCTTTCCATATCGCCCTCCGAGAGATCGATCATCATTGGGAGATGGATCGTATTGGCTACCGATAGAATCTTCGTCTGTCAAGAAAGATTTCAATGCTGCATTAGATCCTTTAAGGATTTTATCATATTCCTGATCTTCTGAAAATCGACGGACTCCAAACTCACGACTTCCATTATTTCGAACACGATGAATCCGAAACCAATTTGATCTTAGCATTTATTCTCCATAAAGATCGTACTCGCATGAATATGGAAGAAGAGAATGCGCATGACGGGTTGTGTTCTGGAGGTTGTTCCTGCAGGGTTGCTGGATTCAATGATTTCGGTTGAGGGTTTGAGGTTTATAAGAGCGCCACATGGAACACTTGCCGGCCTAGCTCTCTCCAGACACACCCTGTTTTTGCATATATATATGGGTCACCGCCTATAGCGGTTCCCCTGTGTTTTTGCACATTCCCTTAAACCATCTAACCAAAAACCCCTCAAACCATTAAACCATTAAACCATTAAACCATTAAACCATTGAACCATTAAACCATTAAACCAATGGTTTCCCCCATATGAGAATCCCCTTAACCATTAATTAAACCATTAAACCATTAAACCAAGGTCTCCCCCCCAAACCATGAAACCATTAAACCATTAAACCATACTATTAAACCATTAAACCAATGGTTTCCCGCTTCTGAAAATCCCCTAAACCATTAAACTATTAAACCATTAAACCAATGGTTTCCCCCTTATGAAAATCCCCTAAACCATTAAACCATTAAACCATTAAACCATTAAACCAATGGTTTCCCCCATATGAGAATCCCCTAAACCATTAAACCATTTTCATGGCGGGCAACCAGTGGTTTAATGGTTTAATTAATGGTTTAATGGTTTAATGGTTTAATGGTTTAATGGTTTAATGGTTTAATGGTTTAATGGTTTAATGGTTTAATGGTTTAAGGGATTTTCATAAGGGGGAAACCATTGGTTTAATGGTTTAATGGTTTATTGGTTAAATGGTTTAATAGTTCAATGGTTCTCCTGCCGAGGTACCTCTACCGCATCTTTTCTGCTCCTAAAGTTCTGATTCGCAAGCAGTGTCCCCTGTATCCTTTCTGCTCCGAATATTCTGAATCGCAAGCAGTGTCTCCCGTATCTTTTCTGCTCATAAGTATACGTATACTATATGGGATTGCGCCTTAAACCCTAACTCTTAAACCCTGACTCTATAGGGTTCTAAGGTTAGGGTTTAGGTTGAATTGCCGGCTTAGGTTTCAATGCTTCAATCTTTAACCCTAAACCTGTCAACCTTAACCCTGTAGGGCTGGGGTGCCTACATCATCATCGGATTTGACAAGCTCTGCGGAAATCTCTATATGACAAGGTTATAACTTATTGCTGTGGTTATAACTATGGGTTAGGGTTTGATTTTTATACACTTATGTAAACCCATTAGAATAAGGGGAACCCCATCACCCAACAAGCGAAATATCCCAAATACTTTACCTTAGCTAAAATATCTCAAGCAACCATTCCCCGATACGCAACACCTGAATTCCATCATTTAACGATATAGTTTGTGTATATGTTGAATCCCAGCAAGTAGTGAAAGTGACGAGCTCTGCGGATATATGTACATGACAAGGTTATAACTTTTTGCTGCGGTTATAACTATGGTTCAGGGTTTGATTGATATACATGTAAATTCACCTATAAGAAAATGAGGGCAACCCCATCACGCCCCAGTAAGCAAAACAAAACCTCTATCCCAAAAACTTTACTTTACCTAAGATCGCTCAAGCAACCATCCCCCGATAAGCAAAACTTGAATTATCCTCTTTCTTTATATTTTGAATCCCATGAAGTAGTTTTCAGGACATTCGCTCACAGTATTCTCGCGTCACCGGGGCGAAGAGCCCTACAAACGTAGACATAACCCTATGGGGTTTAAGGTTTGGGGATTTAAGCTCTAAGTGCTCTGGGGTTTTATGGTTCTATTGTATAGGTAATTAATGCCCAAACCTTAAACCTAAACCTTTAAGCCCTATAGGGTTCAATGGTTCGACAACCTAAGGTCTGGGCATGTATACCTTCAGCACCCTTTAGGGTTAAAACCTTTGAACCTTTGGGAGCCCTGTAGGGTTTTACGGTTCTGACCCTAAACGAATCAGGGTTAAGGTCTGAATGCCCGAACTTTAAACCCTTAAGATTAAAACTCTTTGAGTTTTCGTTTTAAATGCCTAAGTCCCAAACCCCAACCCCTTAAACCTTATCTCTATAGGGTTTAAAGGTTCGGGTTTAGGTTGAATTGCCGGCTTAGGTTTAAATGCCTCAATCTTAAACCCTAAACCTGTCAACCTTAACCCTCTAGGGTTGGGGCGCCTACATCATGATCGGATTTGACGAGCTCTGCGGATATATGTATATGACAAGGTTATAACTTATTGCTGCGGTTATAGCTATGGTTCAGGGTTTGATTTAGATACATGTAAATATCCTATAAGAAAATGAGGGTAACCCCATCACGCCCCAGTAAGCAAAACAAAACCTCTATCCCAAAAACTTTACTTTACCTAAGATAGCTCAAGCAACCATCCCCCGATAAGCAAAACCTGAATTCTATCATGTAACGATATGGTTTGTTTATATTTTGAATCCCAGGAAGTAGTGAAAAGGACATTTGCTCACAGTATTCTCGCGTCATTGGGAAGAAAGCCCTACAAACGTAGGCATAGCCCTATGGGATTTAAGGTTTAGGGATTTAAGCTCCAAGCCCTATAGGGCTTTAAGGTGCCTTTAAACCCTGTAGGGTTGAATGGTTCAAGAAAACCTAAGGTCTGGGCATGTATACCTTCAGCACCCTTTAGGGTCAAAACCTTTGTTCCTTGTAGAGCCCTATCGGGTTTTAGGGTTCTGACCCTAAACGGCTCAGGGTTAAGGTTTAACTGCCTGAACTTTCAACCCTTAAGGTTAAATCTCTATGGGTTTAGGTTTAAGGTTAAAAAAAACCTAAATCTTAAACCCTAACCGCTTAGCCTTAACTCTGTCGGGTTGAACGGTTAGGGTTTAGGTTTCATTGCGGGCTTACGTTTAAATGCCTCAATCTTAAGCCCTAAACCTGTCAAACTTAACCCTATAGGTTTGGGGTACCTACATCATCATCGACTTGTTGCTGTGGTTATAACGATGGTTTAGGGTTTAAAATATATACATTTATGTAAACCTTTAAAAATAAGGGGAACCGCAATAGGCGGACGCCCATATATATATATATATATATAGACACACGCATACACCCCTCCGGTCAATGTCAATGCTCGTATGATATGATCAATATCAACCCTAAACCCAAGGAGGAGGCCGGGATGACCGCCCCGCCAAAGTCACTCCCGGCTCAGGGGCCCGGGGCATGAACCCCTTGAAGCCCCGAGCCCTAGAAGCAGAGTGGGCCGATCCTTCAACATCTTCAACCCCAGCTCCCAAGCCCCCTAAGAAATACGAAGCCCTCATAGCCCTTAGTCCGAGATTCAGAGGCCAGATGATATCACCATCCTCAAGTCTCCCGGCTTCGAGTTTGGCGGGGTGGAGTCGGCAAGGCGGGGGAGTTTGGTGAGCGATGGGCGCCACATGAGAGTACTGCTGCATGAAGAGTAGTCATGAGTAGTCATTTTGGCTCAAGCCCTGTTGGCTCGACATCTTTTTTTGGCCCAAAGCGATCATCTTCGGGTTTGACTGTTATGGCGAAGACGTTGAGCGTCGCGTTGATGGCAGCTGCCTTTTCCTGCGTCATGTCAGCAGACCTGGACACTGCCCTGGCTGACGATGCTGAGTGCGGACCGGGCGAGGAATGCGCCCTCTCTGCCTTGCAGCGGAAGGCGGTGGTTGCACAGTGGTCGAGATCTGGCTGGCATAAGGGAATCGACTGGAAGAGCCAAAACAAGCTGCCGCCATGGATGTCCTCCATCACCGAAGGGGCAGACGAAGCCATCGCCGTGGTCCTGGGCCAGTCCTTAAAACCAGATGGATCGGCGCCCCAAGTGCTGCTGGACCGGGCTGCAAAGGCCAAACAGCTGCTGGAACAAGGGACGGTCACAAAGATCGTCGTGACGGGTGGTGACACCGCCGGCGTGGGCCACACGGAGGCCTCCCTGGCGGCGAATGTGCTGGTGCAGGCCGGCATCCCGCAGACGGCTATTCTTCAAGAGGCACAGGCCACTACCACTGCAGAGAACGCTTGGTTTACGTTGCGGTGGATCCCGAAGGGCACGGGCCGGGTCTTCATCATCACCTCAGACTTCCACATGGCGCGTGCCACTTACATCTTCCAAGAGGTCTTCAACCACTTCTACGGAATGATGGAGCAGACCTATAAGGATGATCCACGGTGGACCGCTACGCCCAAGAGGTATCCCCGTCTGGAGATTGTGCAGGCACCCACTGCGAGCTTCTGCGGCTCCAACGCAAGCTCGAATCACGACCATGAGAGCTCCGCCGACATCAACTCATTTTCGCTGGCGAAGCGCGCGCGGGACGAGCTGAAGTTCCTGGGCTCGGGAGAAGTGACGAAGGCGTTGTACGGGCAGCCGCTGGTCAACATCCTGTACATCTGGCCGATTCAGATCAACGCGACCAAGGACCCCGACGGCGGCGCCAACCTGAAAGCCGCCATGGCCCAGGCGATGAACACCGCCGAAGCCCTGTGCGAGTGCGTCTCCCCGCCAGGTGAAGGTGGACCGGAGCTTCCATATCCTTTGCAGCTGCCGGCACCGCAAGAGCGCCAGGGGTCGTCGGACTGGCACAATGTCTGCCCTGACAACTCCTACGTGGCGTAGGCGCAGTCAGTTGGGTTGGTTGACCCTGCCGAGTGGAGTTTCTCCAGCTATGCGGGAGCTAAAAGACGGAATAGAACGGCATGGATAGAGGGGATAGAGTCGGACAGAGTTCAGGAGCCAAAACCCCGAGCCTGGGTGCCAGGCCGTCCTCGAGTGGTGCCCGTAGGTGCTCCTTCACCACGGCGGCGAGCCTGGTCGAGCGGTTCAGGAGGGGGCGTGTGGGTGTGTGTGGGTGTGTGTGGGTGTGTGTGGGTGTGTGTGGGTGTGTGTGGGTGTGTGTGGGTGTGTGTGGGTGTGTGTGGGTGTGTGTGTGTGGGTGTGTGTGGGTGTGTGTGGGTGTGTGGGTGTGTGTGTGTGTGTGTGTGTGTGTGTGTGGGTGGGTGTGTGTGGGTGTGTGTGGGTGTGTGTGGGTGTGTGTGGGTGTGTGTGGGTGTGTGTGTGTGGGTGTGTGGCACAGGCATCGGCATAGGTATGATATGGGCATAGACGCCGACACGGACATACATCCATAGTTTATCTACGTGGGTATACATTGCACGCCTCACTTAATTGGGGATGGCGGCGGGCCTTCAAGCATGGTGCTAAGATATTTTGGAGAATACGAAATTGGCGAGGTTATTTTTATAATGATGGTTTCTTGGATTTCTCTTCTTTAATTCTTCGTTGATAATTTTGGGAGCAGAATATTTTCATATTGATATCTCGCTTGAATATTCTTGGATCTATATATTCCAATGAAGGCTCTTAATTTTTTTCTGAATATCAATTTCTTCAAAAAGAAAGAGAATCGTCCAATGTGAGTGACTTATACGTCCAAAAACACTAATTTCAAATAAAATAGATCTGGAAGATGATCATCCCGGCTAAAATGAAGGACCTCTACATAACAGAAATTATATGAGACAAGATTTGAATGATTTTTACGTCCAAAAATCCCCACATTCGAATGAAACATCCTAGATAGAGAACATAGAACCTCGATGAAGAAATTCATTGTCTTTGCTCTATATACTCTCAGAAAAGGCAAACTCACCACCACCCTGAATTAAGAGAATTCGTGGAACAAATCTAAGTGCGAAGACAAAAAGCGAGGCTCTACAACCCGATCATAGACTACTGAATAAATCTCTTACCATCGATCTGGCAAGAGACTTATCTGGATTTCAAGATAATTTAAAAATTGACAAAATATTCTACTTTTTGGAATTTACGTAATTTGATATGATTGAGATTGAGACGTTTAGAAAACTCCCAAAATATTATTATATATTAAAAAAGATATTTTGTATTCTAGGAAAAGTAGAGTGGTTCTTAATTTCTTCTGAGTCTTTAGTGACATAAAAAATTTTGTTAGATGTCACTATACGGTTATATAATATTTTCAAGATCATTCATCGTCTCAAAATAGGAAGAGGCCGCACGGAACCATACGGAACTCTTACCTCGAAATATATCCAGGGCCGGATATAAATAACAACGGTGCATGCTCCCAAAAGCACCAATTAAGCATGAATCCTCCATAGAGACGAAAATAATGAAGAGGCTGCTGTAGCCTCGCAATGGACGAAGAGAGATTTGATGCTCGACCACGTCCCAATTGAACAACCAACGTCTCGGATGACCACAAAATACCATCCCTACGAGTCCTCAAATTCTCCTCCATGCATTCAAACGCCCCCCACCACCCCGAATTAGAAAAGAACTTGGAGACTCGCGTCACGATCACAAGCAAACCGAGACCCCAACAAATGGCCATAGACTCAACCAACTCAATCAAATCTTGGCTCATTCAATGGTCAACAATCCTATGTAAAAGGGATCAGGCTCACTTAATAGGCGACAATCCTGCGCAAAAGGGGTCATCCTGACAACAAGCCATTGTATCTACGACCCATAGATCCTATCATGAATCTCGCACGCCGGTCTACCACCACAAGTCTGCATACACGTCCGGCGTTGCTTCTGAAACGTAAGATGTAATCCTCTTTGCAAATTAATCGAGATGCGAATGCGCAACGTGTGATGGGTACGACCCTTCTGTAATCCCTGTTTCGTATCGATCGCCTCATAAATCATCTGCAAGTGGCGTTGTCCTTCCAAGGCCAAGCCCCCCATAACTTCGAAAACGATCGGCTCATACCCCACATTCATGGCTTCGCACCGTTTCCCACAATCCTTCAAATCGATCTTACGCTTAGTATACGAATTTGCTGTTGAAAGTTCCGCATTCGCTGAAGTAGCCAAGTTCGTAGCAAGGAATGGAGATACAATAGCAAAATCGAATGCTAATCATAGGAATTGTTGTCAAGAAGACGCGACGATAGAAGGGATCGTCATAATCAAGATATCTCGGATGATCACAATATACCATCCATACGAGTCCTCAAATTCTCCTCCATGTATTCAAACGCCCACCACCACCCCGAATTAGAAAAGAACTTAGAGACTCGCGTCACGATCACAAGCAAACCGAGACCCCAACAAATGGCCATAGATTCAGCCAACTCAATCGAATCTTGGCTCATTCAATGGTCAACAATCCTATGTAAAAGGGATCAGGCTCATTCAATAGGCGACAATCCTGCGCAAAAGGGGGTCATCCTGACAACAAGCCATCGTATCTACGATCCATAGATCCTATCATGAATCTCGCACGCCGGACTACCACCACAAGTCTGCATATACGCCCGGCGTTGCTTCTGAAACGTAAGATGCAATCCTCTTTGCAAATCAATCGAGATGCGAATACGCAACTTGCGTTGGGTACGACCCTTCTGCAATCCCTGTTTCGTATCGATCGCCTCACAAATCATCTGCAAGTGGCGTTATCCTTCCAAGGCCAAGCCCCCCCCGTAACTTCGAAAACGATCGGCTCATACCCCACATTCATGGCTTCGCACCGTTTCCCACAATCCTTCAAATCGAACTTACGCTTAGTATACGAGTTTGCCGCTGAAAGCTCCACACTCGCTGAAGTAGCCAAGTTCGTAGCAAGGAATGGAGATACAATAGCAAAATCGAATGCTAATCGTGGGAATTGTCGCCAAGAAGACGCGACGATAGAAGGGGTCGTCATAATCAAGATATCTGCGGGACGAAGTTGTGGATCAGATGGTAATAATCCAATTGATTCCAAATTAGGTCGGGCACCTGCCAACTCTGCATATCGATACATAGTATTGCGTAATGTATTGTGCATCAATTACTTGTGTCCCGATGCCATACACGCTAGACAATGGAGGCCAGGATCATCGCACGCATGTGGGCACATCGCACATCCACCTCCATCAAGGATGGGCATACCCAACCACAAGCGCACGGCATCTCGCAACACATACTTGGGGTCGCACGCAACCATCCATCCGCCCATGGAGCTTTGCATAATATTTTCAAGTATGATACGTATATGCTTGACGCTATATTTTCGGGCGATCTTGAACGAGTTTCTACTCAAAATATTGGATATCGTTTTGATAATTTCGAAATCTCTTAATGATAATGGGTTGTGCACTTGGGCATCGTGATTTGATGTCTCGACCGCATGAGCCTACATCATTTTTCGAATTGAATATAATCGTAGCGTCGCCGACGAATTAAAAGATAATCTTATAGATGAATTTATCTCGCGGAGTTTTTAGTAATATTCATTTTCTATTAATATTTCGTTCAATTAAAATAGAAGATTATAGGAAATTATCAAGAAATTAGAGGGACCCGTCGATTCCATCGACGATATATTCGTATGCTAAATTTGAGAGTAGTAAGGGAAGACCTTTGCAGAGAAGCGCGGGCCAAATAGGAAAAAACTTGGAGATTTTCTGAGAATCCCGGAGCAAACAGAGTAGACGTGAAACCACAACGAAAAGAGAAGCCTCGCACAGTTATCCAGCAAATGAGAAAGCTGTGGCAACCTCACCTGAGGCACGCATCTGAGAGCAGGACCCGCAAGGCTAGTGTCCGAGTCGAGCAAAGAAGAATCTCAATATTTGCGATTTGATTGGATCCATAAAATGTGATAGTGCAGATTTACAACGTGATGGAACGGCATCATATTTTGGTCGGGCCAGCAAAGCAAGCGAAGCTATGTCTGAGCCGGCGGAAGCTACAAGACTTCTCGGTACACGACATTAGGAATATAAATGGAAGCTCTGCGGCCACGCCTTGGACATCAGAAGCCTCCAAGCGCACGCGGAGGCGCGCGCTCGAGCCAACGCGAGATAAGGCCACGTAGAGCTGGCCATGAGCGGAGCGAAGACAAGATTCGGCAAGAAGAGGCCAGCGCCTCAATGATGGGAAGACAGGCCATCGTTCAGCAAGCATGCGCAAGAACAACCTGCCGGTCGCAGAAAGGAAAGCATCGCGATTCTGAGGCGCCGGCGTCGTAAAATCTGGCCTGTGCACGACTGATAGTCATAATCCAGGCTAACCGCACCGGAAACTGCCGCCTTACGAATTTGACTGGGAGCACATAATCAGAAGGACGGCAAAAATGTTCGCCGTCCAGCACATCGGCCACTCAGCAAGAGCACGTCAATGACGCGTGGGGAGACATCAATAATAAGTGCACGTGTGCCATTGCAAAGCCCTCCCTCGTAGTCGACGTTGCCTAGCAACACCACGACAACTCTGCGGCAAAGCCGCAGCACAGCCGGCGGCAAGCCAGGCAAATCCAACGAATTCAAGTAATCGACCGGATACGTCGCATAGTCCTCACGTATACCTCCCTGGATGGATGTAGCGCAAGGCAGTGTGTGGATTCGTTCGGCAGGAAAGCCTACCAAAACAACTTCGTTCAAGTCATGCACGTGCTCATTCCGAGGCGTCAAAACCGCCCGTAGAGCGAGATCTTGGAGGAGGTGGGGCAACCGACAGGGCGGCCGCAGAGCGAAAATAGGGGTCGAGCCCGGAACTTGCAGGTCCAGAGCTGCTCTGCAATGCACTCTGCAATGCACGCTGCAATGTACACTTTGTATGCACTGTGTTTGCACCCATTCCCCCTT